TTATTATTATTATTATTATTATTTTTCGTCTTGAAATAATGTTAACATCTATAGTTCGAGTGACGTTGGAGGGAAACAGGAGTCCAGCAACGATTCAAGGAGGTCCTCTGGCGACCGATACATACGAGCTTTCCGAAGTTGTGTTTCGATGGGGCTCGTCGAATTGCAAAGGTGCCGAGCACACGTTGAACGGCACCTGGTTCACGATGGAGGCGCAAGCGATACATTTTAACAAAAGATACGAAACGATCGAGAGATGTTGGCGCGAGAACGACGGCCTCGCGATATGCTCGTATCTTCTGCAAGCTTATCAAATCCCCACCTGGGACGAGCATCCGTCCTTCTCCAAGATCACCGACGATCTGTACAAAATCACCCAATATAACTCGTACACAAAGATACCGGCAAGTACGTTAACAATTTCCTCTTCTTTTTTTTTTTTTTTTTCCATTCAAAATTATATTTTTTTTCATTCAAAAATTTCTCTCGATTCTCAAAGATTTATCGATTATTGGAAAAAGAATTTTATCAATTTTTATCAATTTTGTTATTTTGCATCGTAGATTGTTTGAGCTGGATGAGACAAGCTTGTCAAACACCCGGTTATTACAGTTATTTGGGCTCGCTCACCACGTACCCGCATTACGAATGCGCTACCTGGATCGTTTTCCCGGAACCGGTCAGAATTTCGGAGAATCAAGCGGATTTGTTTCGCATGTTGCGTAACAAAGAGGGGTGCTGCATAAAAGATAATTATCGCGAGGTGCAAAAATTAAATGGTCGTATGGTTTATTACGTGAGTTAAGTTATCGTGTATCGAATCGAAAAGTATTATAAAGTATTATAAATTTATTATTGATATTTATATTGAACGTCGTGCATGTGTATGTTTAATAAAAATCTAACGTACAATTCACTTCGTATCTTTTTCCTTTCATATTATCTAATCTCCTCGAGATATCTTCTTTAGTTAAAGCTTACGTTGTATGATTAATTCCATTTATCGATCGTATAATATATCGAATGGCGAACTCGAACTCGTACGAAAACATTACAGTCGAAGGCAACTAGATTCGTTGCAAACTTCAATCTTATCTCAATCAATATGCAGCTAATAACTTGAATTAATTTACATTCTGATCCGATCCTATATACACACACGCATATATATATATATTTGGTTAAATATTTGATGGAAAATTTTATCGGTTCTTGAATCCTTGACAAAAGAATGTTAATCAAAAGGGAAAAGAAAGCAGGTAAGCGTTATATAAAAAAAAAAATGTGTCGTTATAACCTGCATATTTTATTGCAACGATCCTTAAATTCATCTCGATTTGTCAAGTTATCAAGCCCACCTTCGTATCAACATCGTCAACAGGATTGCCTAAATGGCGGCAATCACCGATCGATTTGTGCAGAACGTTCACATGGACCAAGAAACTTCCACCTCTCTACATGACGAATTACTGGTCGGATATGGGGACGGTTAAAATGACGAACACAGGGAGAACAGGTAAATTTTTAGATTTTAATAAACGAATATTAAAAATCCTTTGCGTTTTCTTTGCTCGAATAAGAAAATTACTCTTTCTTCTTTTTCCTTTCCCACAGTCGTTATAGAAATTTCCGACAGATCCCTACCTTTTCTGCGTGGTGGTCCATTGAAGGACGAGTTTCAATTTATGAACGTGCAATTCCGTTGGGGCGCTGAGAACTCGTGCGGCGCGGAGCACTCTATAAACGGTATTTGGTAAGAACGTTTGCATCTCTTTGCAAGAAAAAACCGCGTGCAAATCCGAATATCATCCGTTTGCTCCCCATTTCCCTTCACGTCGTCCAGGTACTCTATGGAGGCACAGGTGATGCATTGGAACACTCGTTACGGATCGATAGACAAGTGCTACGACAAACCGGATGGTATCGCTGTGCTCTCGTATTTCATGCAAGTACGTGTACCGTGTAACGGTCAATTCAATTTGTGCGAATTACAACGATCCTATTTTCCACTTTTGTAATCGCGTGGACAGGTGGTGGGCTGCCCTGGAATACCCGACAATCCCTCCCTAGCGGAAATTACCAACAACTTGTCAAAGATCAAGCTAGTGGGAAGCCAGACCACCATATCACCTTGTAATTTTACTTTATCGCGTTGCTTTCTTATTTTCGATATAGATTGGAGATCACATGGAGGTAAATTATAGCGTATAATAATAATTTTAATTCAGATTGCTTGCTTTGGATGTTGGAAGGGTGCAAAGGTCACAGTTATTATACTTACAAGGGTTCTCTTACCACACCACCGTATCAGGAATGTGTTATTTGGATTATTTCGCCGATTGTGAACAAAATATCCGTTCGTCAGGTTAGTCTTATTATAAAAAGAAAAAATAAAGAAAAAAAGGAAATGATTCGATTGCAATTCGATATGTTTCTCGTATGTTTTGTACTCGCATCGCAGATAGACGCGTTTAGAAGCCTATACGACGGGAAATTGAAGAACATATTGAAAAATAACAGGTCGCAGCAACGTCTTCACAGAAGAATGATTTATCACATCACGGATGACGCTGCAGCATGAAGAATAAATGAATCGGGCTTTGTTGATTTATAATCTCGTTATATTCCCTTTTTTATTACGTCCATCGCTATGTGAATACAATTTTTCTATAAAATTAGAATTAAGAATTTATTTATATATCGTATCCCCTCCTCATAAAGGTCAATAAATTTAATCGACAAAGTGATCAAAATTCATCAAAATTAACGCGAACGGTTCTCGTAATTCCACGACTCGCGTTTTATATTTTCGAAAAAGAACGAATTAATTCAAAAATTATGTTTCCTTGTTTGCTAACGCGTCAAAAAAAAAAAAAAAAGAAGAAGAAGAAAAGGAAGAAGCATAACCTTTTACCGATCACGCACACAACATCTATCCTCCATATTCATTATGCCATCCTTCAAAGAAAATTTCCAACTGGATATATTCTAACTAATTAAATACAAGAATTCCGTGAAATCTCGTTCTCGTGAATTCGATCGTAACGACAATGGAAGAATATACAGGTTTAATCGGTACGAGGATAATCGAAACTCTTGATGTTAGGTTATGTATACACACACATATATATATATATTTTGCAAATTGTGTCTATTTTTTTCCTTTTTCTTTTCTTTTTTTTTCTCTCTTTTTTAGGTTTACCAGTAACAGGCCAATCTCCAATTAATCTAGACGACAGATTGGTACGAGAACGAAAATATCCCCCACTTGTTTTGAACGGCCACTGGTTGAACGAAGGTGAAGCGAAGATGATAAACAACGGTCAAACTGGTATTATAATTACGTTTGCAATGCAACTTTTCCGAATCGAATCGAATAAGTTAAACTCCCCTCCTCACCTGTTTCAGCGAAAATAACTTTAAGCGGGAACAGGATTCCATCCACGATTTGCGGTGGGCCGCTTGTAGACGACGTGTACGAGTTCGAAAGCGCGCATTTCCATTGGGGCGAGGACAATTGCAACGGTGCCGAGCATACGATAAACAATACCTGGTAAAGAGTAGGGAAAGAAAGAGAACGAAAAATCGTTCCCAAAATTCGATCAATCAATCCAAATCATTGTACCCCAATCAAGGTATTCGATGGAAGGCCACGTGATACATTGGAACAGAAAGTATCATACAATGGAAGAATGTTTCAGGCACAAAGACGGTATCTGCATTTTGGCGTATCTATTTTTGGTACGGGCCCAATCACGATCCCGATGCCCCCCCTCTTTTCTCCCCATCTCCCCTATCTCTTTTATCCTTTATTGGTGGAAGTACAAATTTCGCTTAATTTTCAAAAAGGTGCAACCAGGTTGTTGTAATTGCATTAATCCGCAATTGGAAAGGATAACGGAGAACTTGAAGGATATCCTGGACACGGAAATGGAGACGAAGATACCACCTAGTAAGGGATAATTATTAATAATAATTCACTTCGTTACTTACTTTTCCCCTCGCTATGTTTGTGATCAATTTTAATTCCCGCTTCTCCGTTTAGACAGTTTATCTTGGATGCGTTGGGCTACGTATTGCAGCAGATATTACACATACTCAGGATCGTTCAATGTTGCCGATTATCCGGAATGCGCCACTTGGATCGTGTTCCCGGTGGTTATACCCGTGCGAGCCAGCGAAGTAAGTGTAATAACGATGGAAAAGAAATGAGAAAAGAGAAAAGGAAAAAGAAGAAAGTAATCGAGACGTTATTTTTAATCAAAGATATCGATCCACAGATACAAGAATTTCGAAGACTGAGAGACAAAGATGGGAAATGTATAAAGTCAAATTGTCGAGAGATACAGTTACTAAAGTGTAGACAAATATATTTAGCTGTGCCAAGTTAATATATACGACAAACAATATCATACGAGTTTTCTTTTCTATGTGTGTGTGTGTATGTACGTTTATATTTTATACCGAAAAAAAGAACGGTAAAAATCGCTCTTTTACATTATCTTATCGACTAAAATTAAAAAACAATCTCTCTCCAACCTCCATTATAACTATGCTACTACATGATCCTTCTTGAACGGCAAATCGATTTCGATCTCCTCCCCAGAAGAGGATGGAACGACCGTGGACAGTCAAGACAATAGAAACATTGTATTTATTTACATCGTTACTTGTGACGCTCGTTCAAATTGTTGTACGACTCGATCGACGCGAATATCCTAACCAACGTGTTCCCCAAGAGGTTGTAGATACGAATGAAAAACGTTTGCTTGTAAAGATATTCATTGCTCGGATAAAGACGATCGGCGGCCGTCTCCGCGTCCGTCTCCGCGACGGTCTCCGCGACGGTCTCAGCGGCTGTCTCCGCGACGGTCTCCGCGACCGCCTCGCCCGCCGCCTGAATCCGCGACCCCCTCTTTCGCCTGGCCCGAGTAACGTAACTCTTGCCCGATACCCGGCGATAGTCGGCAGTCGCGGCCTCCGCGCAGACGAGCGGCAAAGGGCCCCTCTCCTTCCTGAAATAAGCGCTCCTCGCGAACTCGCTCTCCCCCTCGAACAGATTGAAGAACGAGCACAACAAATTGTACACTATCTCGTGCTTGTTGGACGAGACCCGCGCGTAAAGAGTGTAGGCCAACGCCTGTTTGTACAGTTTGCCGAACTCTGCCAACACAGCGTCCCTGTACTCGGACGGTTGGATCCTCAACATCGTCTCCCGCATCTCCAGCAGCGACATGTTCCACCGATACTTGTTCTGATTCGTCGCGAGCGAGTAAAGGCGATGGAAATCCGTGACCACGCTCGGTGTGTAGTAACACGTGGGATTCTTGGTCGCGAACAATTCCGAGTCGAGGAACAGATTGCCGTAAGATGGCTCGGGCCTCTTGTGAAGGAATATGTTCTCCACGATATCGTTTATTACCGATCGTATCGCGTCGTTCCTTATGCACCGAGCAATGTACTCCTCGATCATCCTGCACGAGTCGCTCGTCTCGTCCCCCGCGCAGCCCCAGAACCTGAAGATGAACGGGGAGGGGGAGAGGACGGGGCTGGTCACCAACCTCCAGAACTCGGTGGAGACGCACGGCTCGCGCGGCAGGTACCACACCTGCACCTTGTTTATCTGCCCGGGCAGGATCACCCCTTTCGTCTTGTTGAAGTAGAAACACGTTATCGGCGACTTCTTGAGGGGGAGTATCCTCGGCCGGTAATCGGCCTCCCTCCACTCGTACAGGATCACCCTGTTCCCCTTGTTCTCGAACACGATGTCCTTCTCCGCCCTCCTGTTCAACTTGCCGCGAAACGTCACGCTCCACACGATCGGCTCGCCCTTCCTCCTCCTCTCCTCCTCCTCCTCCTCCTCCTCCTCCCCCCCACCAGACCCCCTCCACCGGCACTCTCCGTAATCGCTCTCCATAGAGAACTCCCGATCCTGGATCTTGAGAACGACCGCCTGCTCCAGATAGCACTCCTCGCAAGGGGTGCATTTCTCCCTCTCCCTCTCCCTCTCCCTCTCGTACTCCTCCTCGCTCTTCTCCTCGTCCTCCTCCTTTATCACCTCGTCGCATGCGTAGACGGTGATCGTGGGAAGTTTCGGTATCACCTCCTCCTTGGGCGTCGTGTAATTCTTGATCGCCAACCCCCCGGTGCACGGCTCCCTGCTGATCAACATCCCTATCTCCCTCGACAACTCCTTCTTACGTTTCATCAGGTATTGGCTACGTTTCCACAACGACTTCTTGGACGACATGCAAACGAAATCCTTCTCCTCCTCGATCAACTCCGGCAAACCGACGTAGGTCAATTCCGGCGCGATGTTCATGTCCTTTTTCGTCAACGCGAAGTGGATGTCAGGCAAGCAGGGGACGGAGGGCAATTTCTCGGCCACCTTCCAGAACTCTGGACCGCCCCTATACTTGTCGGGCACGACGGGGACCGGCAACGAGGCGCAGTCGATCAGATTCCTCATCTCGACCAGCGGCCGTATCATCTCGCACGAATAATTCTGTATCTGATCGATGGGGTGGCGATCGATCTTGATTCCCATGCGCTTGCACTGCTCCTTCCGCCTCTCCAACCATCCCTTCCAATTCACCAGGCGGGGATCCTCCTGTATCGGCTCTTGGGGCGTTATGAACCCGTCCCTTGTCGAGACGATCGTCGTGAACTGCTTCACCCATTTCTTCGGCTCGTCCGATTTCCCGATCTTACGCGCATAATCCATCTTTTCTTTCTTCTTCTACTCGTCTCGCGTTTCCAACACTTTGTCAGGAGCAACGAGGAACGAGAGAGAAACGCTCCTCCCACGGCAAGTGTCACTCGGGAATGAGAATCGGGAACGATGATCGGTTCGCCCCGAAGTTGGCTGCGCGAAGTCGAATCGAAGAAGTATCGATCCGAGGGAGGGGAGGGTCGAGGCGAGTTTCCCAGTTTCTTCAACTTCACTCGAAATCAGAAATGAACTCGAATTCAATAGGTAAGAGATATGTAATTAATTCCGATCTCGATCTCGATTTTCCCCCTCTTTCCCTCGATCGTAGAGAAGATCGAAATTTACGAACAGAATGCCAAGTATATTCAGGAATTCGTTGCGACCGAGGGCACGTTAGAGACACCGATCGATTTGGACATTAGTTACATGAAAGTGATCGATCTGGAACCTTTCGAATGGCCTGGTATCGATGTAACACCGAGAAAATTGAAAATTACCAATACAGGTTTTACAGGTGGGTGGATTTCTTCTTCTTCTTTTTTTTTTTTCTCTCTCTCTCTCTCCCTTTTCGCTTTCGTCGTCTCGATGACGCGATAAGAGTTGATTATGCCCCTCCCTGTCCCCCCTCCATGTTCCCCTCCATTGATGACGTTTATCGATTTAAAGTAATTCTGAGCGCAAAATGGCAACAAGGAACTCCTTACCTTTGCAAGGGGCCGTTAGAAGGGAATTACGTGTTCGCGCAAGTTCACTTTCATTGGGGAGAGAACGAGATGAGAGGGAGCGAGCACTTCGTTGACGGTGCAAGGTTTAAAAACTTCATTGCTTGTTGTGAATACAACCGTACACCCACTGTAACGTATCATCCTTAAGAATCTGACTCTGAATCTGTTTGATTGAATGTAAAGCATGCCTATGGAACTTCATGTCGTGCATTACAAAGAGGAATACGAATCGTTAGACTTAGCACTTCGACGACCTAATGGCGTTACTATCATAGTATATTTTTGTAAAGTAACGTATTCGTATATACACATACATATATATATATATATATACATGCTTACTACATTTTTAGACGTTAAAATGTTTTTTATATAAATATTCCGTTTTTTTTATTCTTAGCTTGAAAAAAAAAAAATTCATCGTATCGAACCGATTGAACCTTTGAACGAACGAAAATGTGACGATTCTTAGTTACAGAACGAGCCGAATGAATTTATGGAAGGAATCGTGAAAAACTTGACCGTCATTCGAACGGCACACTCGTCGGTTCGTATAATCCCTGCAAATTTAACCGGTATCCTAAAACCATTCTCGACCGACTATTTCTTATATTGGGGCTCGATAACCACGCCTATAAATATACACAATATTCTTTGGATAATTTGCAGAGAGCCGATCGGATTAACAACTAGACAAGTATATCCGTTATTTTCTTTCTCTTCTTTTTTAACGCGATCCCTCTTTTAATCGCGCATTTGTTCTGCGACAAGATTGCAGAGTTTCGCACTTTGAACGATGAGAAAGGCGTGCCTATTCTGTCGAACATTCGCCCTGTAAAACCGAGGCAAGAGAAGAGCGTTTTTCACGTGTCTCCGTCAGGATCTCTCTACGCATCTCTTTTACCTCTTCCACGAGTTGTGCCGTTAACTTTTGCCACTCTTAACGCCAAAGTTACCGAATCTGTATCCGAGACCGTGACCGAGACCGTGACCGAGACCGTGACCGAGACTAGCATCGTCAGTGTGGATAAAAATAATTTTCTCTAACGTTTTTTCTAACCTTTATATTTATTATATATATATACACGTTTCTCGATCGTTCGCGAAGAAAAATTCACCTTTGTAATTTCACCTTTTCACCGATAACGCGTAAGATAAGGATAAGGATGGAACGAAAAGCAAAATAAAGGAAATATTATTTTCTGCGCCTTCTGCGTCTTCTTTTCATCCTTTCTCTCTTGAGATCGCAGTCGGGATACAAGGATGCACACTCAGCTCCACCTAGCCCGAGCACGGAAGCCTTTACAGAGTCCAGCATTGCCGACCATCGAGATCTCTCCAACATCCTGCCGGTTACCCAACTCATTCCTAAACTGGAAAAGTCCGATTCCGTGTTTATCGAATTCGTAAAATCGTATTTTCGACGATAAAAATTAGAAAGCGATCGGTCGAATCGATTCCTATTTATCCTCGAAACTTTGATCGTGATTTGAGCGAGAGAAAAAGATTTTTTTTTTTTACCTCCAAACGGGCAGCCATATTTTACGAGGGTCCTTGGTTTCGGTCGAGTATCGATTGCTCTCGCATAGAATTCTACGAATGCAATTTCCAAAATCTAGGTCAGCGACGAGGGCAGCCTCGATGCTTCTAAGAACGGTGTGAGACAATTCGTTCAATTCCTGTTGATCGTTGTAGGACAAGTGTAACAATCCACTGGGATCCCTTCTTAGACGTTTGGCGGTCGTCGTGGTCATGGTTGTGTTCACGTTCGTCTACGCGAATTTCAAAGAAGAGAAAGGTAATCGTAAGAGGAAGTCGAAGAGAGAAATTAGTCGGATATAACCCGTATGTACCGTGGCGTTCATCAACAGATGTATAATGAACACTCCAAAGGATAAGAAGGCCAAGGCTGTGAGGGCAATTTCGAAAAAATCCTTTATCGAAAGATCGCTCCCTTTCCCCTTGTAATTCTGTTTATGATATTCCTCCTCGTGATCTTGGTAAATTGGAGCGTAATAATGTTCCTCGTGTATAGCGGGATAAGTTTCCGTGTGATGCAGGTAATGGCCGCCACCACCACCGCCGTGACCGTATGCGGGATGGCCGTAAAAGAAATGTCCCGTTGAGGACGGGAGCATGTGATCTGTGGTAAGAGACAAATATTTGATCTTAAGGAGATTTTTTTTTTATTATCGTTTCAGCATTTTGTTTTACCATGCTCCTCGTCGGGCCCATCGTAGAAACCAACTTTACCGGATGGTAAAGCAGCTGGCATCGCGTAACCTGTCACTTCCCCATCGAATTCCTCGAAACTTTCGTCCTGATTACCATGCTTCTTCTTCGTTTTCCTTCGAGGAACGTAGTGCCTGTACACGTCGTCCAAAGTCGTCCTTCTGTGCACACAAATTATATTTTTAATTAATTACGGATAATTCTTGAATTCGAAACTGACGATTACCTTTGCAACCAGTTTTTGTACTTGGAACTTCCCTCGTCCGCTAATAATTTATCGTGAACGGTGACGTTATCGATCGTGTCGTATAAATCATCTTTCCCCGCGTCCAATCGTCTCTTAACTCGTGGCGTCCTCATTAACTTCGCTATTTCCTCGGCCATGTAGCCGTGGCACAAATATTCGTTCATCCTTTTCCTGATGAGGGGAAGGAGTGAATCACGAGACGTAAAAATTTAGATAATTTGGATAATTTTTTGTTTTTTAATAATACGTACCTGTGATATTCCATCTCGGTTATAGCATCTCGTATGGATCCGTCCACGATTTTGTCCTCGATACTTTTCGTCGCGTTCGCGCTCGTTTCTTGATCCGCGAACAAGAAGGATCCAGGTAAGAGATCGACGGAAAGAATATCGTTCTCGTCGATGCAAAATTCGTTTCCATCGTCGAAACATTCTTGCCCAGAATTTATGTGAATTATCGGCAACAAACAAACAACGAGAAATTGGACGAATCGAGTTTCCTCGAACAAAGGAATCATTTCTAGAGTTAGACGCGATCTGACGAGCCGAGCAACCGACACTGAGAAGACTGGCAAAACGGAAGCACGCTGCTTGGAACAATCTGCTCAACTGGTAGAAATAATTGCTTTTAACCGTGCGTGTGTTTAAATGCCGTTGACAAACTTCTTCTGTTTCGAGTAACAGTTACGCATATAATTATGCTGGTAAGTGAATGAATTTACAGTGATTTAATCCGGATCTTGTTAATAAATTATATTTTAAATTTTTTATTTCGATCGAGAGTTGAACGGAACGTGATTAAAATTTCAAGGATAAAAATTTCCAATTTTTATGCCAATAAAAATTTAAAAATTTTTTTGGAAAATCTATATACTGATTCCGTTATTGTTTCGCGTTTCAATTTTTTAATTTAATCAATGGAATTTGGAATCATGTTATGAGCTTTTAAATTAATTCAGAAAATTTATAAATCTTTCTCTCTCGTAACTACTCAATTTTACTTTTTTAATCTAATCAATAGAGTGTTGGATCACGTTAAAATTTGACGAGGATCATTTACGAGCTTTCCAATTAATGCAAAAATTAACGAAAATTTATAAATCTTTCGTCGTAATTACTTAACATAATAATTTCAATTTTTTATCTAATCAATAGAGTTGGATCATTAAAATTTGACGAGGATCATTTATAAGAATTCCAATTTTTATAATATATATTCTATAATACAAAAATGAAAATTTTGTCGTAATCATTTAATGCAATAATTTTTATCTAATCAACGAAGTCTTGGATCTCGTTAAAATTTAACGAGTATCATTTATGAGTTTTCCAATTAATACAGAAATTAACGAAAATTGATAAATCTTTCGTCGTAATCACTTAATACAATAATTTTTATCTAATCAACGAAGTCTTGGATCACGTTAAAATTTAACAAGGATCATTTACGAGCTTTCAAATTAATATAGAAATATATAAATATAAAAATTAATACAGAATAATTATAATTTATCTTTCATCGTAACTACTTAATACAATAATTTCACTTTTTCAATCTAATCAATAGAGTATTGGACCATGTTAAAATTTGACGAGGATCATTTACGATCATTTCCAATTAATGAAAATTTATAAATCTTTCGTCGTAATTATTTAATATATAATAATTTTAATTTTTTATCTGATCAATAAAGTTTTGGACTACGTTAAAATTTGACAAGGTTTCAAATTAATATAGAAATATATAAATATAAAAATTTATATTTATATTAATACAGAATAATTATAATTTATCTTTCATCGTAACTACTTAATACAATAATTTCACTTTTTCAATCTAATCAATAGAGTATTGGACCATGTTAAAATTTGACGAGGATCATTTACGAGCATTTCCAATTAATGAAAATTTATAAATCTTTCGTCGTAATTATTTAATATATAATAATTTTAATTTTTTATCTGATCAATAAAGTTTTGGACTACGTTAAAATTTGACAAGGTTTCAAATTAATATAGAAATATATAAATATAAAAATTTATATTTATATTAATACAGAATAATTATAATTTATCTTTCATCGTAACTACTTAATACAATAATTTCACTTTTTTAATCTAATCAATAGAGTATTGGACCATGTTAAAATTTGACGAGGATCATTTACGAGCATTTCCAATTAATGAAAATTTATAAATCTTTCGTCGTAATTATTTAATATATAATAATTTTAATTTTTTATCTGATCAATAAAGTTTTGGACTACGTTAAAATTTGACAAGGTTTCAAATTAATATAGAAATATATAAATATAAAAATTTATATTTATATTAATACAGAATAATTATAATTTATCTTTCATCGTAACTACTTAATACAATAATTTCACTTTTTTAATCTAATCAATAGAGTATTGGACCATGTTAAAATTTGACGAGGATCATTTACGAGCTTTCAAATTAATATAGTAATTAATTATATATATTATTACTATTATTATTATACTATTATTATTATTATTATTATATATACAAATTAATATAATATAAATTAATATATAAATATAAAAATTTATATTTATATTAATACAGAATAATTATAATTTATCTTTCGTCGTAACTACTTAATACAATAATTTCACTTTTTCAATCTAATCAATAGAGTATTGGACCATGTTAAAATTTGACGAGGATCATTTACGAGGATTCCAATTTTTATAATATAATTTTAAATTTTATAATTTATATAATATAATACATATTTAAATTTTATAATAATTTTATAATATATTCTATAATACAGAAGTAAAAATTGATCTTTTATCGTAATCACTTAATAAAATAATTTGTATCCAATCAACGAAGTCTTGGATCACATTAAAATTTAACAAGGATCATTTACGAGTTTTCCAATAAATACAGAAATTAACGAAAATTGATAAATCTTTCGTCGTCATTAACTTAACATAATAATATCACTATTTCAATTTTTTTATCCAATCAACGAAATCTTGAACCACGTCAAAATCTAACGAGGATCATTCACGAGCTTTCCAATTAATACAGAAGCGAATATTGATAAATCTTTCGCCGTTAAGACATGTTAACATCGCACCTATTTAACCCAGGCGTTGGAAGATAAAAGATAATGGCGTGAATTCTTCGAAAACTGGACGATTAATTTTCAATGTATAACCTCGATGTATAACTGGTATGGGCGCAGATATAGCCCACTCTCGCGAGATATTAGACAGGTGAGCGAGTTCCCAAGGGAACAAAGCCCCCATTACCTCATCTCCGGCCCACCCCCTCCTCCCAAAACCCTCCGCTTCTAAAACATTCATAAGTGCGCGGTGTAAGTGGTTTTTAATAAACGTATTTAATCATAGGTGTCCGATTACGATGCGAATCCAATCGGGTTAACGTCACTCCCTTACGATTAACCATGTGTCCAAACAAATCCATTTTGTTTGCATGAGGGATATTTATCTACGAGCCACAAGTCGTTGTAAATTTTCTAAATGAATTGTATCTTAAATTTTTTTCCTTTTTTTTTTTTTTTAAACGATCTCCTTTCGAAAGACGTATCTTATCTTACAATAGCAACGAATTCTATTTCCCCCTTTCCTCGTCACTTTTTAAAAATCTGTTATTCAATCAAACTATTAACTATTAACTCATTTACGATACGTTTCACCTTCGATACAATATTTCGTGCTTTATTTTTCCGTGTTTCATTTTATTAACCTCGTGTCACGTCGGAGATAGAAGGAAAGAGTTGCAGGAAAAATATATTATTGCCACTTTATTTATTTTTAAATGGAAGGAAAACGAAAGAGATTGTACAACGAAGCAGACAAACGTTGTTGAAAGCAACAATGTTGAAAGCGGTTATTGGGGGGTGTGGCATCGATAAACCTTATACGTGTACGTGTGTGCGTACGCGTGTGAAAACGTTCCACGGCAATTTGTGGCCGCGTTAGTACCTACCATCACCCTCCTTTTCTCAGGTGTTTGATTGATCGTTTCAATTACGCGGGCGCGGCGTGCATCAAACGAAAAAGTAAAGCCCGTATCGCCCGTGGGATGATCGTCCATTCGGGATGTTTCGTCGAGCTTTTCGCCAACGATACAACGTAACCTTCCTTTCGTGAATTCTTTCGTCGATTCCAACCGTTGGATTCAACCGTTCTTCCTCCACGGTTGACATCTCTCGTCACCTCGTCTTGCGTAATTCTTCTTTTTTTTTTTTTTTTTTTTTTCTGAGAAGAAAAGGTCGAAATTTCGAATGAAATTATTGTCCATCTCTCTCTCTCTATAAAATAATTATATATTATAATTTGTAATTTTAATATAATTAATAATTAATAATTTTATATTAATAATTAATAATTATAATTAATAATTTTTAATAAATTAATAATTTGTATATTATAATAATTTATTTTATTTTGATAATAAAATAATTTGTAATCTGAATAATGGAAGAAAACGATGTAAAAAATAAAAAAATTGAAATTTTTGAAATCGATGTATGTATAAGAATTATTATTAATCGTTGATTTCTCGTGAAATAATTATAAATTTAATAATTTGTATATTTGTATAATAATTTATTTTGTGTAAAAAAAAAAAAATTGAAATTTTTGAAATCGATGTATATATAAGAATTATTATTAATCATTGATTTCTCGTTAAATAATTATAAATTTAATAATTTGTATATTATAATAATTTATTTTATTTTGATAATAAAATAATTTGTAACCTGAATAATGGAAGAAGACGATGTAAAAAAAAGAAAAATTGAAATCGATGTATATATAAGAATTATTATTAATCGTTGATTTCTCGTGAAATAATTATAAATTTAATAATTTGTATATTATAATAATTTATTTTATTTTAATAATGAAATAATTTGTAACCTGAATAATGGAAGAAGACGATGTAAAAAATAAAAAAATTGAAATTTTTGAAATCGATGTATGTATAAAAATTATTATTAATCGTTGATTTCTCGTGAAATAATTATAAATATATATATATATATATGTGTGTATATAAGAGGAAAGAATAAGAAAGGAAACAAGGTGGGAAAAAGTTTGAAATTTTATTACATCGAGGAGATTCAAATCCATAAAAAGTGAAAGATGATTTTTATTTTTAAACTGCGAATTTGAAAAGAGGTTTTAAGGGTCCGTAATGGTTTCTTGGAACGGGATGTAGATACTAACTTTGTCCGTGAAATTCCATGTGCGCCACGACCATGTCGTTACTTCCTCCTTTCACACCTAACGAAAAGACGAGATGCACGGGATTTCGTTTCATGTAACCGGTACTCAATATTTGTTCACGTCACTTGCACGCTTAAATTGCTCAAGTATGCTCGTAAAACACGGGTAAAAGGTACGAAATCTCCTTTTTTTCTCTTTCTTTTTTTTCTTTTTTTTTTTTTTTTATGAAAGTTTAACTGTATTTTTTATCGGCCAATTAAAACTAATTATAGACTTTACGAAATTTTTAAAACCTCTTTACCTTTATTATTTTAAAGACTTTCTTTCGTTGATTCATTTCTTTTATTTGATTTTTTTTTTTTTCTTATTTTTTTGAAAACTTTCATTTGTTTTTGTTAGGTATAGATTGATTTTTATTCCTGTTATTTGAAAGATTGTTTTTACTATATTAAAAATATCCCTTTTAATTATATAATTGGACTGGAAAGAAATTGATTTTAAAATTTGTATTTAAGATTTCTTTACTTTTTTTAAAAATTTTCGTTCACGTTAATTGTAGACTAGAATTTTTATTCCTGTTATTTGAAAGATTGCTTTTACTATATTAAGAATATCCCTTTTAAACGATATAAAGAAAAAAGAAATTGATTTTAAAATTTTTTAAAAAATTTATATTTTAGACTAATTTTTATTCCTTTTATTTGAAAGATTGTTCCTATAATATGAACGTGTAAATGTCTTGAAAAGAACATCCCTTTTTACCCTTTTTTACGCCATATAACTAGAATGGAACGAATGGATGAATCCGTGGTAAAAAGTGGTCAGAATCGTGAATGGTCCTTTAACTCGGTAGAACTCGATAGATTTACGATGTATACAGGGATGAACATCGAGATTGGACGAGTCTGTGAAACTAATGGTCCCGCTTACTCTGGAAATGCTACGCGTTTCAAGTTTGTAAACAGAAATAGCTATACGGCTCGATCGAAAATGTATCGCTAAAATGGAGATCCGCGAATCTCAAATTTCGCTAAAGCGAGATACTTAAGCGAAATCGTAAGTTAAAACGCAAGAAATAACGTAATAAGACTTTAAGATCAATTAATTATTAACTTATCAACTTACGATCAATGAATCGATGCGTTTCGGGCAAATTCTATCTATTCGTATTCGCCTAACATTGCAATTAAAAAAAGAAAAAGGAAAAAAATTCCCTTAGGATTTTTACTATTGAAAATCTCGATCGATAATAAAAGAAATTATCCTGAAAGATAAAAATAAAAATTTCCTCTCTCTCGTATCCAATATCGACAATCTCAATTTTAAATTTCAAATCGGGCTTGTGAATTGAGAACCGCTGCGCAAGGAGTTTAGTAAACGCGTGAAGAAGTGTTTTGCGGTACTTTTTCACGAACGTTCTCCGTACGGCAGAGGCGTTTATCCATTGCCAGAGTGTGTATAGAGAGGGAACCATTAGTTTGCTGACATAAAGCTCTGAAATAGAGGGGTCGAAGGAGGCGGGCGCTACGGGCGGGCATGCGCCTTCGTCGGCCAATCCGAGCCCCTCCTTCCCGTCCTTCCGACCAGCTCTTTTCTCGTAGATAAAACCTCGCTACTGCGCATATCGCCCTATAAAAACCACGTTATCCCGCGCATATCCGTCGATAAATATTACCGACAACTCGGTATATTACTCGCAATTACAAATCCAAACAAATTCATCGAACGTGTATTCGACTTATTCGGAACGATTAATCAACAAAATTGATCATTTCGAGATTGTTCAAAATTCAATACATCGATGATTGTATAATTTAACAAGCGAAATATAATAATACAGAGAATAACAACTTTTCCTTTCCTTCCCGAGACACGATTATTGGCAAATGTTTCGCGAAATGTTTCGAAAGAACGTCGCGTAGGACGCGTAGATAGGCGTACTCGTATCGATTTATTCGCACTCGGATAAGTAAAGGAACGTTAAAACCGGTGTGAATAAGCTTTTGACCCCTACTCCGATCGGGTAACGGCGAGTGGGGGGACGTTAGCCGGGGGATGACCTTCCCTCGCCAAGTCTCGGAGGAGTGGGGGGTCTGGGAGGTTCTTGCGGACCACGGACACGTGCCACCTGTCATACATTTCGAGGCGGTTGCTTCCGGAAGGTTGAGATTAGTCGGTAGGACGTCGTGGGGATATCGGAGACGTTTCTGCCCTATATTTTGGAGGCTCTGAGTGAATAAATATCGTAAATAAAAGCGTATAAGAAATGTGCTATACGAGGAGGAGGCGTATTCGTCGTATCCGTTGAAACGTTGGAATGGAAATGGATCTCCAATGTTTCTACTCTTCTTCGAGGACGTGTGCGGGATGGAAAGATTTTCGAGGGAAGGAGGAAGGAAGGAATTCGTGTGAAGACAACGAATGAATAAATATCTTTTCGCTTCGATCTTGGACATGGAGTTTGGTCGGGATCATGGTGATCATTGCGGCAAGGTGAGGAAGGAGGAGGGGAGGACGCGAAGGGAAGACGATAGAAATGTCGCGGGGGGTGTGGGGAGGGGGGGTGGGCGGGAGAGATTCGTCGAAACGATCGGGGACGGCGTCCATCGGGGGACGTCGATGGGTTACGAGTCCGATTCGAGCGGTGAAAGTGAAAATTACGGAGGGGGGAGGAGGCAAAGAGGGAAGGAGAGAAAGAATTCGAGCGTGGTGGCCGGGTCCACCACGGCTTTCACGATAGATAATATTCTTGGGAGGCGCGAGAAGAGGAAGAAGAGGAAGAAGGACGTGGTGCGCGTCGATTCGAATTGTCCCGAGGGGGGCAGGGAAGAGGAGCAGGAAGAGGAGGAGGATGAGGAGGAGGAGGAGGAGGAGGAGAAAGAGAAAATGGAAGGGAGTCAGTTTATCGGATCTAACGCCGTATCGGCTACTAATTCGGGTAAAAATTTCTTTCTCCTCTCTGTTTCCAATAACATTTCTTTCCCTCCCCCCCTCCCTCTCCCTATATTACTTATTATTCCTCTTGGAAAGAGTTAGCCCCAAAATTCCTTGGTAAATTAATCGATCGTAGAAATTGTATTTTAAGGATAATATTATTTCTATTATTATCCGTTTCCACAGCTTTGTACCCAGCTGCAGGATTCTCCTACTCGGAGATGGCCCTCTCGGATCCCGGTTATTCGGCGACGTCTCTCGCTTCTGCGTCCATTTTGTACAACAGTTGGTTCGCCCAGTCGAAACCCGGTCAACTTTTCGGCCTGCAAGGTGAGATCTGCTCGATCCTTGGTAGAGCAGGTAAATTATTGCTTTTCTCCCCCTCCTTCTCGATCGATATCCCTTTCGATTCCCGATTCAGGGAAAGGACGTTCTCTCGAAAAGAGGAAAGGAAAAAAAAGAAACTGTCTAATTACCCGCTCGTAATAACTTATCGGCGCGATTCCATTTTCGCGTACAATGGGTAGGAGAGAAGCGAAATCGGGGTGCGTTCTTTCGGAGCTTGGAGAGGGGGAAGGGGAAGAATAATCGGGGAGATTACTCGAGGCGTCTATCGTAACAGCTATTCGACACGCGAGCGTCGCATTAACAGCTACAGCGGGAGGGGGGGGGAAGGGGAGGGGGCGTGTTGTACACCTCTCCTTAATTCCATATCTGTTGCCGCGTCACGGGCGTGAGATATTTTTCGCGCCCGGCGTTAATCAAACTTTTCCTCTCGGCTTTAACCCCTGTCTCTTTACTGTCGCGTTTACTGTCCCTAGCGAACTGGAATCGTCGAAGATGCATCTTTTCTTCTATTCCTCGATAGTGAAATTTTATATATTATATATTATAATAATATTAATATTATATATTATATAATAATAATTATTATATATTATAATTATAATTATAATTATATAATATTATATATTATATATATATATTATTTTTATGTCGCGGAAATTTTTTAGAAATTGTTGTGACGTTTTTCTGTCGAATGAAGAATAAATCATCAAAGATGCCTCTTTTTCATTCCTTTCTCGATTATGAAATATATTATTTTT